AGGAAAGATAACTTTACAAAGGGTAATATGTCACCACAATCGTCTCCACCGACAGGTAATATAAATGAATATAAAAAGGGCACGGCCAGCCCTGGCCAGAGTTCCAATGGTAATAAGAGAAGACCCATTAGGTGTTTTAATTGTAATCTTTTGGGGCATACTAAGAGTAATTGTTGGTTTCTTAAAGAGAGAGACGCTCCAAGGATGTTCCAACAGCTCTTGCCAGTGTTAGGGATTCAGATGATATAACCTTAATAATAATGTCCACAGTATAGGGAAAGTAAGAGCAGAATTCCGACCCTTTTGTTCAAAGGGGACGGTATCCATGGTCGGTGAAGAAGGTAGCGAGAAGCCTGTGATTGTATTCAGAGATACAGGTTCTTTAATGTCTTTAATGTTAGAAGGTATGCTACCTCTATCAAAGGAATCCTCGGTTGGCGCTAATGCTATATTAGCTGGAATCGAGTGTGGACAAATGAGTGTTCCTCTTCACCGTGTTCATTTAAAATGTGACTATATTGACATGGATATTATAGTCGGAGTAGTGTCTAAGTTTCCTCTTGAAGGGGTTTCATTTATTCTCGCAAATGACCTGGCAAAAGAAAAGGTGTTTTGTGGCATAAATAATCCTATTGTTCTGAGTGCCCCAGATCTGGACTGCAGCAGTGTGCAACTGGATGAGTCGGAGATGTACCCGGCATGTGCGGTTACCAGAGCAATGAGGAGAGTGGTGGAAATGAGTCGTGAGGACGAGAAGAGACAAGGTAGTGTGACCACTGTGAGTGAAAACCAGATTGAAAAACTACAGGTATGTGACGATGTGGAGGAAGACTTTAGTAAGGATTTAAACTCGTTGTTTTGCCATGAATCTGATAACGGTGAGGTTGCGGACGAGCTGAGTACTTGCTCCGTAGAGAGGAAGAATTTAATAGATCAGCAAAAAGTGGATGCGGAATTACGTAAGATTGCTGAGTCAGCTCTGATAGATACCGAAATATCGGATGTTCCCACGGGTTATTATAAGAAGGATGGCATTCTAATGAGGAAATGGAGACCTTCACACGTGTCTGCTGGGGACGATTGGCTCACGGTGCATCAGATTGTCATACCGCGATCCTATAGGAGACAGATACTGAGTTTAGCTCACGACTCGCCAATGGCAGGACATCTTGGTATTAATAAGACTTGTAATAGGATACAGAAATATTTTTACTGGCCGGGTATGAGGAAAGACGTAGCACTTTACTGTAAGACGTGTCATAACTGTCAGGTGGTCGGCAAACCGAATCAGAAAATCACTGCCGCCCCGCTGTACCCGATACCCGCGATGTCTGAGCCATTTAGCAAAGTTATTGTAGACTGTGTGGGTCCTCTTCCGAAGACCAAGGCTGGTAATGCATATCTCTTGACGATAATGTGCCAGACGACTCGCTATCCTGAAGCGATTCCTTTAAGGAAAATAAGTACTTCTGCAATTGTGAAGGCTTTAACTAAATTTTTCACCACGTATGGGTTACCTCAGTTTGTTCAGACAGATCAGGGCAGTAATTTCTTATCTGGGGTCTTTCAACAAACAATGAAACTCTTAGGGATTCAACATCAGATTTCAAGTGCCTATCATCCCGAATCCCAAGGCGCAGTAGAAAGGTTTCACCAAACTCTTAAGAATATGATCAGAACTTACTGCTATGACACAGAAAAAGAGTGGGATGAAGGTATATCCGTGTTACTGTTTGCGGTCAGAGAGTGTGTTCAGGAGTCTTTAGGATTTAGTCCATTCGAACTAGTCTTCGGCCACGAAGTCCGAGGTCCCTCAGGCTTTTGAGAGAAAAGTGGTTGAGTAGTGAGGGTGACTCAAACATTTTAAAGTACGTGATGGATTTTCGATGTAGACTAACTAAAGCTTGTGAACTGGCAAGAGCAAATCTAAGTGAGGCCCAGAGACGCATGAAGTCGTGGTACGATAAGAATACTAGACCTCGATCTT